TTTTGATTGATTCAAAACATTTTCCAGTCAACTTCTTTGCTTGCCATATATTGAAGAAAAGGTATCAAGGGAGAAAAGAATTAAAAAAAACACATTGAGCCCCAAAGTTCAATTGGGTTGCAACTTGCTTCTTTCTCATAAATGACATTTGATTATAACATAGAATTTCATTTTGATAACCAATATAGTGAATGAAATAATATAGTCCCATAATTTTTGAGATCACCGGAAAAATTTTCTTTCAATAAGGTATTATTTAATTATTTAGGAACCACCTGGCATCTAAGGATAACAATGCAAATGCATAAGAATTTGTGGTAGGAAGTATTCTTACTACTATTTAAGTGGTAAAGAAATGGAGATAGGGGCAAAATTTTTTTTTTCTTTTTAAGTAACATTCTACATGTAAAGGTGTGAATTATAGGAAAGCCTTTAGTAACCTAGTACTTCAATTCTGATGTTCTATTGGCCATATGTGATAGTACATATTTCCAGGAAATATTCTTTTTTGTTTGCATTCTATTTTTCAGGTGACATTTCTATGGTGCTATCCTATTTTAAGGCTGTGTGTGTATATGTGTGTGTGTGTGTGCATGTGTGTGTAACAAGATTTTATATCAGATCATTCAATGATTCTAAAAAACTCCTTTATCTGGAAAAAGGAGCAAATAATACTTGCACTAACAAATCCAAAGGATTGTTGTGAGAATCAAAGAATCTATCTATACACACACACACACACACACACACATACACACACACAAAACCTCATATGCATATATACATGTTCACATATATTTATGCAAAAATTTGTATATGTGAATATGCATATAAATATATTCACATAAATGTGTAAATATATACACATACATGTAAATGTGTGTGTATTCACATATTCATACATATATGTGTGTGTATGTGTATGTGTGTGTGTATATATATACATATATATATATATATATATATATATATATATATATATAGTGAGAGAGAGAGACAGAGAGAGTCTTTGATCTGTATAACCTTGTGAATTTGGCATTATTAGCTCCATTTTCTAGATAAAATGAGTAGTTTTAAAAATCTTTGATTTAATAATAGAATCTTGTTCATTCTAGAGATTTATTTTCTAATTTTCAATTCTCTTTCAATGTAAACCATGTTTCAAAAGGGCTGGCACACACATTGATATTTCAGATGACACAAAGGTGGGAGAGAGGGCTAATACACTGAATGACAGTCAAGATTCAAAATTACCTGGGAATTCCAGTGAATATTAGTCAATATGAGTCAACAGTATGATATGGTAGCCAACAAAAGTGAATGATACTCTAGGTTGTATCAAGGTGTCCAGAATGCGGGGAGGGGTGGGAGGATAGACCTAACATACTTTATTCTACTCAAATCAGGCATATATTAATATGCTTATTCCGGGGAGAAACATTTTAGGAAGGCCATTTTTAGTAATAATAATAGTAACAATTAATACTGATGGAGCACTTTAGGATTTACAAAATGCTTTATATAAATTGTCTTATTTGACACACAGAACCCTGTGAGGTAGATACTATTATTATCACCAGTTCCTTGATAACAATATGAAAGGAGTTTGAAAGATATCAAGTTACTTGCCCAGATTTCCCCAGCCAGTAAGTGGATGAGGAAGGACTCAACTCAGGTCTTCCTTACTCTAAATACAATACTATATGCCTTACACCATTTAGTTCACTGGCAAGTTGAAGAATGTCTATATGTGGTTAACCTGAAAAAAAACTGTTTTGAGATAATGCAATATGAAGACTTTAAGGAATTTAGGATATTTTTGCCTAAAAAGATATGAACAAGGTAAGACATGATAGCTACCTGTTCTGAAGAAAAGAGATTGGATTTGGAAGAAGGTCAATCTAGAAGCAATGGACAAAAGTTGCTGAGTCAGATTTAATATTTGATATAAGGAAAATTAAAAAAAAAACTAGCTACCAAAAAGTGTAATGGGTTGCTTCAGAGGATCATGCTTTTGCCCTTTATTGGTAGCCTGAACGGTATATTGTAGAATACAGTTCTTAATTAAGTATGGATGAGGCAGAAGACTTGAAACCCCTTTGAATTTTAAATTTTGTGATTCTTTAATATGATAAAACCCAAGAAAAAATGTTTAATCCTTATCCCCTTAATCTCTAAATTATCTAAAATATTTATTTTTTAAATGAATAGTTACAATTGAATTCATTCTTTTTAAACTAGTGATTGATACAACTTTATTAGAGATTAAAACTAAATTGAGATTTTGGAACATCTCATCTTTTAAAAATATTATTAAAGATTTAAAAATTCACCCAATTTAATAAAACTTGGTGAAGGATGATGGATTTCCTAAGTGTGGGGTAAAATCTAGAGAGCAAAGATTTTCTAATCAGTAGTAGTCTGTTGCACTTCCTTTGAATCTGAGAATGTATCCCAAGTTCCACCTTTCTACTTTTGAATTTGCTGTTATTGCCAAATTATGAAACTAGAAAAATAGGCCTTTTGTTATGTAACTGTTATCATACTTATGAACAATCTTTAAGTAGCCATAAGTGAGATCAAATGTTCTTTCTATAGCACTTATGAAAAGTGTCATGAATTAACTGTCCCCTTGCCCCCAAAATACCTTCATATAAAATCCTACATAAAGCTCACGGAAAATAATTTGAGTTTTAATCCTTGGTTCTCTCCTCCTACCCAAAGTTTCACATTAATATTCATATAAGTCAAATTTATTGAACAAATTAGCAGACTGATGCTCTTTTGGTGCCTAATCTAATGTTTCTTTCTCCCCTCAGTTTTCAATGATAGAAAACTATATGCAGTACTAACATATAAATCAAAGGAAAGAACCTCACTTCTTAATTTTTCATAGGAAAACTCTCCTCTGGCAAACAGCTGGAAATTGAGGGTGTGCCCACCAATTAAGGAATGGTTGAACAGGTTATTGTACATACATCTAATGGAACACTATTGTGATGTAAGAAATGATGAAAGGGACAGTTTCAGAGAGACCTAGGAAGACTTGTATGAACTGATACAGGGTGAAGTGAACAGAATAAGGAGAATAATTTATACAATAACAATCCCTTTATAAAAATGAATAATTTTGATACACTTAAGAACTCTGATCAATGCAATGATCAACTGTGATTCCAGGGGGCTGAGATGTGCCAATATTTTGCTGTTGAATTTGTTTTGCTTGACTATGCAAATTTGTCAGAAGGGTAAGGCTTTTTTAAGGTGAAGGGTAGGTAGGAGAGAGAGAAAATTTAAAAAAACATGTTAATTAAATATATAACATTAAATTAAAATAAATAAAACAAATTCCTTAATAAAATATTTTCATATCTCTTTAGTGCATAATGTTATAGTAAAATTTACAACATTGTCTTCAAAATTAATTAAACTGGAAAAAGAAAAAAGTGTTTATGCTTAGAACATCAGGCTCAATGGTAAGAAAACTGACTAATGCTTTTCTAACCCCATGCCTTTTCTCCCTTACTTTGCTACCTGGGCCAAAGTCCCCATTCTACTACATGCTACTGAGACATACTCTCCAAGGTACAATCAAGAAACATATGGTGAGGTTCCCAAAATATCATGATTTTTCTGGGGCCGGGTGAGAGTCAAGGGATATCCTACAGTCCATTCATAAGCGTAAGCTCTGATTCTCTCCTGCACATCATTCATGTAGGTAGGCGGAGTTAAGACCTCTTCTAATCACATTTCTAGGATTGCTGATTATATATGTATCTGAAGCGAGTGTGTGTATGCATACACACATACTTGTAAACACACACATACATGTCATGTGTATACATGCATGCCATGTAGATATACATATAGATACGTGCATGTACATATATGTTATATACACATATATACACACAACACACATGTACATGTATGTTATACACACACACACACACACACACACATATATATATATGTACATATAGATGTATATACATAGATACAAAAGACAGTACTGTATATAAACAGATACTTCAGTACTTGTTAAATCAATGACAGAGTATCAGGGAAATATCTCCTTTCCTATCCCTCTTGATGGACTAAAGCTTTCTCAAAAACCAAATCAATATTTATGATTAGGGTCAGATTTGCCAATGAAATTAACAAACAAGTCAAAATAATTTCTCTTCTTGAGAAATTCATGAAATAAATAACACACACATATTCTTTCTCTCTGTCTCTGTCTCTCTCTGTCTCTGTCTCTCTCCTCCATCACACATGTGTACACATACACCACACACACACACACACACACACACACACACACACTCACAACAATACCTGGGAAACAGCTGTGGAAAAGCACCAGCTAATCTCAGCCACAGAAGAGGGTTAAATTGGGTAGAAATTCTATAAAAGATTAAAGCCCCACTTGAAAAAAGCAAGCAAACAGGCATTGATGTTGGTAGACAGGATGGTGGTTAGGAACAAGCATAGACCTAATGTACCTTCAGGGCTAATATTTTAGACAATCAAAGGAACATCATGAATTATGCAGGACATTTCTTTTCTCTGACTACTGTGATTATATCACAAAATATAATTAAGTGTTGCCATTTAATGCCAATTCCCCGAAACATCAATTTTCCAAAAATGAGTTCATCTAGAAGAGAAATCATGGACTTACTGTAGTTATTTTGCCACCTTACACCTGAAGATCAATTTCAAAGTGCTTCTTAGAAAAATATAATGTTTGACTACTAGTATGTCCTTCATTCTTTCCATCCTCAAAGCAAAATGTGTATTAATCTTAGAAAACCTTCAAGCACTCCTTCCAATCACAGTGTTTGTGAGTACTTTTTTTTTTTGCAGACACTCAATTGACCATATTCATGCTTCACATTTTTAGTGCTCTTTTTATTTCCTAAACTCTATAACATATGTTCGAGCAAATGGGCTCTCAAACACTGTACTTCATCCAATCATCACGCAGTATTCATTACCTTTATTACAAAAGTATTCCACTTCTTCACAGCTCAGATTTTCAGGCCCAAATTCTGTGGAAAAGCTTTCCTCCAATGGAAAGTCTCCTTTAAGGATGATGTCATTTCCCTCAGATAGACACTCTTCCTCTTCATCATCGACAGCATCTTCAAGGGGCCCTTGAAAAAGAATCAGGGACACTGTACCAACAACATCCAACAGAAGATAGTGAAATACAAGACTTATAAGCAAAGGTGCTGAGAAGAATGCATCCTTCTACAGATGGCTCCATGTACAGACACCACACAAGGAGATGCCACATGCATATTTAAAAAAAGAAATATTTACCTATAAAGAGAAATAGGTTGAAGTTACAAGGTCTGAGGTTACCATATAGACAGCCATCTTCATCAAGTCCCCCCTCCCATATCCAAGTCTTAATTTTTAGTTATCTGCTGAAGAGCAAAACCTGTGTGCAATTTATGTTCATTTGTTAAAATTAACTGTCTGGTAAAGCGTACAAGTCTCTTTTACACAGTTGTACAATTTTACCTGAGATTTTAATAAAGATTTAAAGTAATTGAATGCATTTTAATTGAACTGAGATTTTAATAAAGTCTATACTTTAAAAAATCCATCTTAAGAGTGGATGCTGAGAAAAGATTTCATTATACATGTTTGAGGCTCGAAGAAAAATTACATATTTCTCTCCCTGATGAAAGCATAACCCTATTCATAATTAATTGAATTTTTTCTGAAATGAAAAGTAGTTTTCTAATGAAAAAATGTAATTTGTATTTATGTGATAGTTTCTCAGGAATAAAAATACAACTCCTATACACTGAATAACAGTAAGGTGCATGACATTAATGGCCCTATTTTACTGAATGGAGAGGGAGGGGTATAGTTGTTAAGATGGCCCTGAAGTGGACTATATGGGAATATCATGAGATTTACTATGAATTTCTGACTGCTTCTAAAGAATCAGGGGAGTCAAGTTCAATCTTCTAAGTAGACTCTTACATTTCCTCCTAGAGAAGCAAATGCAGCATGTATTTTATCCAAAGAACAAAATTATAATAATTTGTATTAATTGTCTTTCTTTCTAGAAGTCTCAAAGGGAGGCTCCATACTGAAAGAAAAGCTTGAAAAGTCTCTCCTTGGAGCAAGCGTGAGATATTATGGATTCAGTCAGATAGTTAAATCAACAAGCATTTATTAAGCCCTTACTTTGTACCAGGCACAGTGATGACTGCTACAGACTCAAAAAAAGTTTTTGTTTTTTTGGTTTTTTTAAACTATCTTCCCTCACAGAATTTTATAAACTGGGTGTGAATATGTGCACAAGTTGGCACATCAGTACCTGTGATCATATATAACCCATGTCCTGCCAACCTCACTATGTTGGGAGGATCAGATCATGATATATAGGAAAACATTTTGTAAATCACAAATCACCACACAAATGGAAGGTTTAGCCATTTTCATAATCAGTATTATGGCTATAACTAGATTCAATCAAAAAATGTAAAGTAAATTGCACAAGATTCAATTATGTCCTCACAAGTAAATGTATTAACAGTTTTCCCTTAGTTAATTTCAAAATAAATAGATAGATATTTAGTGGAAATAATTCCCTACATTTATAAGACCTCTGAAAAGGTAAGGATGGAATTTAACCCAAGTCAGAGAGACAAAATAAACCTAGATTGTATTTTTTTTCAATATAATCATGCATGAAGTTTAAGAAGCTCACTTTTCCTTTTACAAATAAATTTAATTTTTCCAATTTACAATCTCTCACTCTTTTTTTTTCACCTTTACACAAATGATTTTTAAATTCTCCTAACAATAAAATATAGCTAGGGGAAGAAAGGTTCTGATTTTTTAAAAAAAAATATGTTAATGAGTAAATTTAAATTTGATCTTGTAAATTTAAACATTACAACTTTAATTAAAAATTTTGCCTGATGAAAAATGGGGTAACATTTCATTCATCATTCTCTCCACTCTAATAAAATGTTTACCAGAGTTGGTTAAAAAAAAACCAAGCAGGTAATGCATACTATTATTTGGTTATTTGTTATGTTCTCAGAAATAAAATAATGCCTAAATAAGTAACTTCTGTATAGTAAAAATGACAGAAACATGGCTCATCTTCATTCTCACTGAGTTTCTCTTTAAGATGCATTGAAGAACTGGACTTCTATAGATCTTGCATGCAGAAAAACAGTGAATTGTCTATGGGGGAATAACTCATAGCTAAGATCAAAAGACCTGGAGCACAAGGAACCTTAGAAATTCTGGTTAACTGTTTCATCTTACGGGTGAGGAAAACGAGGTCTAAAGATGTGCTCAAGATCACACTGGGAGTAAAAAAACAAGATTAACATCTAGTCTTCTGATTCAAATAAAATGTTCTTTAACACATGATATTGGCCGTTTTTTTTTAAATAGCCTGAAAAATACCTTCATGCCCCAAAATTAAAATTTAAGTTTCCCTTGTCAAATGGACAGAAAGAAGAGATTAGCCTAAAAATCTGAGGCTAACTACATCAGTGTCTTTGATAAATGGCAGCATTTTTTAAGTTCGTTTAACCCTAATATAGAGTCCTAGAGAATAATCTGTGATTGTGAGCAATTAAAGAATTGTATATCTAAATGTTTGTAGCAAACCAATATTTTTTATTCATTTACAAAATTCTAGTTTGTTTTAATTTCAGTATCAGCAAAATGTGTTATGCTGATATTAAAATATTTATGCTTAACTGTTTCCAAAAAGGTATACCTATCATAGAACAACAAACAAAAATTCTAATGCAAGCATATCCATCCTTGTCAGGTTATAAAGGTAAGAAAATTCACTTATTTTCTGATATACGCAATTGCTCGATTTTTCCAGAATTCTAAATGTGGTACACTTGCTACTTAAAAGCAAGTGGGTAATTTTTACCATCTTACTTTCATTTCCTAAAAGGATTTCAGGGAACAGAACGAAGTTTTTGAGGAAAGAAGTTTTAAAGGAAAGCTAAAAGAATCTGACTCTTGGCAACATTATAAAAAAATCTTTTGTTCAGTGTTTACCCAGATTGTTTTAGGTGGGCAGTGGGCTTCAGCACACAATGAAATTGAGAGCCTCTGAAAATTAATCAGTTTGCTAAAAGTACAGGCAAAAAAAAACAACTCAAAAAATTATTATCTATTTAGCAATAGCATGGCATTCCAGGAGAACAGAACCCTAAGCTTCTGAGTTGCATTGCTCAAATCCCCCCTCCCTCTAAAACCTAGAATTACAAGCCATTAAACTTCCCTAGGCCTGAATTTTATCATCTGTAAAATGAGAGAGTTAGACTAGACAGATCGTCAAGTCTCTCTTACAGGTCTAGATCTATGATTCTAATTTATGCTCTGTGAGACCCAAATCAATTGACTGCTTTCAGAAACCTTAGTGTCTGTGTCATGCAATAGTAGTATTAATATTTCAGGGCAGTTGCAACACTTAGGTTGCTAAAATTCAGTTCAATTCAATAAAAAATTCTTTTAAGCAACTACTATGTGATAGGGATGAAAAATATTTATAAAAGATAATTCTGTAAGTGCATTTCAGTTATTTTTTTAAAAAATGTAATCATATTTTATGTAATTTACTGTTTTCATTACCACACACTTAAGCAGAGCAAAAAAAAATCACTACAAATGGCTTCTAATTTTTCATTTTCCATTCTGATTTTCCTTGCTTCCTTTAGAAAATGGGCACTTAGTAGTAATCTAAGTAAATGAAACACAAGAGTTTTCTTCCTCGCATTTTAAGAAGAAACAAAAAAGAGCATTTCCTGAAATTATGGGTGAATTTGGATTAGTTCCTAAAACCATTGTCTATTTTAAAATAATTCACTCCTAAAGAAGTGAATTTACTAACCATTTCTTTATTAATGCTATCAAACGGGGCTTAAGGAAACCCCGTCTCTTAAAATGCAGGATATTTACAATTTAAGATCAGATCTCATCTTATTCATTCATATTGAATATTCCCTTAACAAGAACATCAGATTGCCCAGAGACATAAACTAACTTTGGAAGGGTGTAAGAACCACTTGAAGCACATGTACAATTAACAGCGCCAATGAAGGAGGGAATGAAGTAAGGAAACTACTGTCTATGGGCTAGTGGGCACAGAAGTCCATTTCGGAAAATCACCGCACATAATTTGATACAAATAATAATATCCACTCAGAGAAGGATCACAACTGAACTCCATGTGCCCTCATGGAGAAAATTAGTTCTGATTGAGGCCACTTGGCAGACGAGTGTGAGGAAATCTGAATTGTCGTTATTCCACTGCTCCAGATTCATAGATATTTACACACCCTTGCCAGAATTAATAATCTCAACAACTTTGCTAAAAATAAGTGACTACAAAATTTAAAAATGCAAGCAATTGTTAAATCCATTTATGCAACCATATGTATATAATAAGTATGTATATGATATATTATATATTTATATGTGTGTACAAGTATATGTTATATATGTGTGAGAGAGAGAGATGTGTAATATATATATATATATATATATATAGAGAGAGAGAGAGAGAGAGAGAGAGAGAGAGAGAGAGAGAGAGAGAGACAGAGACAGAGAGAGATATTTGTGATATACATTGGGTTCTATATTACAGCAAATCCAGAGAAAGTAAAAATGTTCTTCAGAATACAATAAGTGCTATCTCCATGAAGAAATAAATAAGGATGTTCTCTTTGAATTCTAGACCTTAGTATAAGGCACAGGATCCTGGGAGACCCCATAGAATACCAATAAGAAATACTGCTCATTGTAGAGCAGAAATATTGTGGGGCACAGAAAGTCTTACGCAATCTGTAGGCACTTTCACAGATAAAGACCATGACTTCTAACACTGAGAGAGAAATCTTATGATGGTAAGCCTGACCTACCCAGGCATTTGGCACAGTCCTTTGTGTAGAAATGACATACTACTCCATTTCTATAAGGTAAAGGCTCACACAAAGAGAAATGGCAGAATTGACATCTAAAGGTTGTTTCCTCTTTTATCCCTCTTATGTGTGTCTGTTGATGGGGGGAGGGATATTTTAAAAGTGACCTAGAATAAGTGAATTAAGGAAGAACTCCCCAGCCCAAGTTTCAGCACAGTTATAAAAAAGGT